TGTGAGGTACAGATGCAACTTCCTTCCAAACGGCTACCTAGTCAGCCCAGCACACTTGCTGGATGCCCACCTTTGGCCCATTTTGGCGTCACAGACCGCTTACCCACTTCTTGCCAAGTTCATTCTTAAATTTTAACTTTTTTGCTTTCTATTGTAAATAGGATGATCTCTTCCATTAGAGCTTCTTACAAGCTCTTTATATAGAGGTAAGTTATTGGTTTCTGAGTAGTAAATGTATTATCTGATACTTTGCAAAGTTTCTCTCCGATTTTCCAGGCATATTAGCTTATCATCCGCAAAAGATGTGAATTCCAAGTTCTTCTTTCCCACTGTGCTCCTCTTAAGCTGCCTTCTCTTGTCTGCCTGCGTCGACTGGCCTCCCCAACATGTCCAGTAGTGACCACCCACCCAAAGGAGGCCTATCGTGCTTTGATGCACCAGGCAACCTTGAAAAAGTGAAACTTTAAAGGCTGTGGAATCATACCTTCGTGCAAAAAGAGATCTACTAGGCCACAGTTTATACAAGGATGAAAAGTTTCTTAAGAACACAAGAAAGGAGGGATTAAAGCGAAGACGGCACCTCTTAAGAACAAAAGTATTTAGTGCTAGTACACACCTGCTGAGCATCCTTTCGTGCCTGGGACTTCAGTGGGAATCTCCACTGTTTCCTTAAGCTTGATGTTGGCCTTTGGGCTGGAACAGATCTATCATATCATGTTATGGAAACAGCCATCTCTGAGCGCTGTTATTGAGAATAGCTGTTAAATTGAGTCAAGCTTTTCAGCACCTCAGGAGACAGCTAGATCATTTTCCTCCCAGGTTAATTAAATGGTGAATCACATAAATAGACTTCCTGATATTGACCCACCCTTGCATTCTGGGACTGAGACCCGTTCCTAGACTTTGTTTACTCATATTATTGTCCAGTTTTGCATCAATATTCATACATGAGACTGGTCTAGAGTTTTCTTTTTTGTGCAATCTTTATCAATTTTGATTTCAATGTCATACTTGTTTCTTAAAAAGAATGTAACAGTCCTCTCATTTTAGATAGTATTAGATTATCTCCTCTATAAATATTTAGTAGAAGTCACCCATAACATTGTCTAGACAAAATGCTTTGGGAGGAGACCACTTTTTGACAACTTTATGTCTTCTAGAAAAATCAACTTGTTTAGCTTTTCTACCTCTTTCTAGGGTGAGTCTAGGTCAATCACATTTTCCTTAAAATGTTTCTATTCAATCCAAGTTTTCAAACCTACTTTCAAAAGAGTTGAGTAAATAGTCTCTTATGATTCTTTAAATTTTCTAATATTGCCCCTCCTGGTTCTTACTTTCTTTCTTTCTTTCTATATTAGATTAGCTAATAGTTTATAAAGTTTGTTGTCACAGTTCAATTATTTTTCAAAGAACCACCTTTTCGATTAGTTATACCACTCTATTTTTCTACTTATATTTAAAGTTCTTAGAAGAGCATAGCTTTAGCAGGTGTTCTGCATTGCCTCCTCTCCCTAAAAAGTCAGCACAGTAAGAAACACCGTCTAAGAATGTAAAAGCAAGAAAGAGATTAACTATGAGCTGCTAATGTTATCTTGAATTCTATCTACAAATCCCAAACACCTGATCAAAACAGCAGATTAGTGACATTTCCAATGGAATTTTTTTAAAAAAGCACTATACAACTAAAACCTAGGCCTTCACAGTAATTAATTTACTGGAAATAAGATCAATTCTAAAGTTAATAAACTTACATTTTAACAACACAGGAGGCACCTTGAGGCTTCCATCATAACCTTTCTACCTCCTCCTCACCTCTGCCAAGCAAATGCCCACCCACCCACTGACACGAGCAAAACCCTCCTTGTCCTCCAGTCCCAAATTCTCTGAGGATGCTTTACCGCCAGGACTGAAACACAGCAAGACCACACGTCAGACCAGGTGAACTGCCGTGCCCTGCCAGCCACCCAGCACCAGCCAGCACCAGCCAGAACCCACCCACAGCAAAGTGTGCTGCAAAGGCGGCAGCCCAGTGCAGGTTTAGTTTTAACTAACCACCAAAGTAAACCGACTTGTGCTGACTCACTCTGGGTAGCCTGGAGAAATGAACCATTAAGGAAGCTTGAAGGAGTGACTCTTAAGCTCCGTGTAAAGTAGAAATCAACTATTAGGCTACAGTTTTTGAAGCGGTATACGTTTCCTTAAGAGTACCCAAAAATGTAGGATTAAAACTACGCTGATTGGCCCTTCACACCAAAAGTATTTGGTAATAACACACACCTGCTACCTGGCTGAGCCAAAAACATGGCGCAGACAGGCTTTGTCATCTAAAATCACAAGGTGGTGCAATGGAAACAGAACTGAGAATCAGGGCGCAAAGCACAAGAGACTGAGATGAAAGGAAGAAGTGAAGAGTTGATAAACGGCTTGAAGACTAGAGTAGCAGCATATATAACCTTCAAAGCAGTAAGCCCACAAGTTCAAAATTACGGCTACAACACACACCAAAAAACACTGCTCATTACCTGGGCCGATGAGAACTTTCAGCAAGCTGTGCAGGTAGCAGCAGCAGCCAGAATGGACACTGGAAAGGCCATGATCTACAATTTAAAAATATTTGGGGGCCTACCTGGTGGCACAAGGGGTTAAGCACCGCACTATGAAGCTGTCTGCAGCCTCTGCAGCATGAGTTCGATCCCCCAGCCAGGGAGCAACCCACATGGCGCAACAGGCCTCTCCTGACTCGCCCGCTACTCCCCTCTGTAGTGTACTTCAGTCAATCTGCCCGTTCTGTTCCCCACTCTGTCTCTGGTGGATCCTCTCACACACACACACACAGCCCGCCCCCACATCTCTGGCCTGTACCCCAGTTCTTGTATGCATAAATAAATAAATCTTTAAAAAAAATTTGGAAGGGGGGAGTTACTATAGCTGAACAAGGACATATGCACTGCAGGCTTGTCCCTAGGCCCCCTTCTTCCCCCCCAAAAAAGCAGTTTACTGACTCAGATACAGATATGCGTGCATCACTAGGCAAAAGACCACAGAGCCTGGAAGTCAACAAGGATCCAAGGTTTTGCAGCTACTTTGATGATATGAAAAATAAATTGTCTCCTTTCCATCACGTCAGATCACCTTTTGCCAAAAGTGTGACTTATATATTAGGGAACTGCATGGGGAGATTTTGTTAAAGACAAAACAGAACTAAATTTTGATCAACCTGATCAAGAGTTTTGAATTTGTTGGTCTGATTTTGGGCCACTGTGACTGATATTGGGAAGTCTCACCTAAGACACTGCAGGAGTGAAGAGGAAGGGCAGGCTGGGGACTAGTACAGCACTGAGAAATCAGGGCCTTTCAATATCCGCCCATGAATCCTGCTGTGTAAAAGAGAATTTGTTTTTAAGATAAATTAAGTAGGTTTAGCTATCTGGGTTGTATGGTAAAGTTAAAGAGAATCTGGGTTTTTGTTCGTGGGTTTTTTGTTTTTTCCAAGCTCATTCTCTGAATTTGAGTAAAAATAAAATAAACGTCCAGAGCTGGTTAGTATGGGGACACAGGGACATAGCCAGGCTTGTTTAAAACACAGTTTGGGTGGGGAGAGGCCTGAGCTGTGAGAGGTGCTGCATGGAGGTCACCCTCCTCCCAGGACTAGGATCTGGGCTGGTGGACCCCCTGTCCCCCAGCAGCAATAGAAACTTGAGCTGTTGATGGCTAACATGCACACACAAAAAAAATTCATCATAACTTATCATCAGGGAAATGCAAATCAAAACCCCAGTGAGACACCGCCTCACACCTGTGAGAAAGGCCCATAGTAAAAAGGCCAGAAGCAGGAGTGCTGGTGAGGATGTGGAGGAAAAGGCACCCTTGTCCACTGCCGACGGGAGTGCAGCCCCACGCAAAGCAGTGTGGCTTCTCAAAATTTGGCTAACAAATAAATCTGCCCTCGCACCCCACAATCCCCTCCTGGGAATCCACCCAAAGGACACAAAAAGGAACCCTGCACCCCATGTTTACTGCAGCACGACTTACAGCAGCCAAGACATGGAAACCACCTAAATGCTCCAAGCAGATGAGGGGCTCGAGAAGACACGCTCTAGCCACACAGCGAAAGGGGGCTCAGGAGGAGGAGACTCGTGCCACTTGCAGCACCACGATGGAGCGGGGCGAGAGGGCCCTGGCGGGGTAAGCAGCCGGGAGAAGGATGAGCACGGGACAGTGTCACCAACCCCTGGAATGTGACGTCGCCAGAGGGTCAAACGAAAACTCTAAGACCGACTCTGGAAGCTGACCCCAGACCCGGGGCGGGGCGGGGGCGGAGGGGGAAATCCCACCCTGCCCAGATGCCAGCAAGCGCGCGCGTCAGGGGCTTCTTTCCAGAAGGAGAACCACGCTCCCGCCCTGTCTCCCGCTCGCTCTCAGACTCGGTAGTTTAACGCGCTGGGCCTCCGGCACGGCCCGTGCTCTGAAACTTCCCTTTCACTGCATTTCCCAAGTCCTTCGGCAAGACTGGGGTCTTTACAGTGTTTTAAAGGTTGACAAGCACAGCTCTTTGGGAACCGTGACCCTGCGCGGACCCGGGGCGCTGGGCCTGGCCCTGGGCCGGGGGGCTGGGCCGGGAGCTGGACCCAGAGCCTGACCCCGGGCCTGACCCGGGCCTGACCCCCGGCCTGACCCCACCCGCGACCGCCAACGCCTCGGGCCACGGGCCCCACTGCGCCTGCGCGCCGCGCTCCCGGAGCGTGAGGGGACCGAGCGCGCCCGCGCCCCGCGTTCGCAGCCGTCGGGCACGCGCCCCCTCAGAGGACGGAACCCGATAGACCAGATTGCTCCCAACAGCCCCGTTGTGTCGTAGGCGGCGAGATACTGAACAAAGATGGAGCCCGGCCGCGCGCCCCCGCCCCGGCCGCGCGCCCCCGCGCCTCTACGCGCCTGCGCGGACGCAGCCCCCGCCGCCCCGACCCGCCCCCCGCGCGCGCGTGCGCAGTCCGCGACCTTACCCGCCACCGCGACCGGCTCCTCCCGGCCCGGAAGGGCCTCCTGGGGGCTGACGAGCCTCGAGGCGGCGTCGCCCATGCTCGCCGCGGGGAAGGCGCTGCGGAGGCGCTGGCCGGCCCGACGCGCGGCCCAGAGCATGAGGGGCCGGGGGCCCGAGGGGCGCGGCTGCGCGGGCTGCGCGGGCGGCCGGCGTCGAGGAGGCCCGCGGGCGGCGGCGGAGGGAGTGTCCGCCGGGGCGCCCGGGGCGCGGTTGCCCCAGCGGGCCGGCCGAGGGCGTGTCCTCCCCGGCCGCGGGCCCCGACTGGCCCCGACTGGCCCGGCCGGCTGCGGCGCAAAGGTCCCGGCCCGCGCGGTCGGGCCCGGTACGAGAAGCCGCGGGGGCCAAAAAGCGCCCCCGGCCGGCCCTCCGCGCGGTGCCGCCCGGCCCGCCCGCCCGCCCGAGGAGCGCCGTGGCCGGCCCGGGGACGGGCCCGCACCCTGTTACGGGGCGGGGAGGGGCTTCCTTCCCCCCAGCAACCCCTCCACAGCCCGGGGCGGGGTCCCCGCAGGTCGGGCAGGGGGTGACCCTGTGTATGCACATGTGTGTTCAAAACGCTCGCCTGGGCCTCCTGGGCCTCCCCGGCAGCGCGGGGGTTCAGCGCCGCACTATGAAGCGATCAGCCGCTGCAGCACGAGTTCGATCCCCGCTGCCCAGGGAGAAACCCCGTGGTGGGGCAGACCCCTCCTGTCTCCCCGCTGCCCGCCTCAGCAGGGGGTTTCAGTCAGTCTCCCTGTTCTGCTCCCCACTCTGTGTCTGGTGAATCCTCTCACCCCCCGCATCTGTGGCCTGTACCCCCGTTCCTATATGCATAAATAAATCTTTAAAAAAAAAATAAAACGTTTCCATAAACTGCAGACACACAAATAACATTGAGGGCACCCATTTTACAGGAGGGAGAAAGAGCAGAGCGAGGCGCTGACGCTGCCATCAAAGCAGTTTCGGGGAGGCTCAGTCTGGTTTCTCAAGCCCCGGGAGCTAACATTTGTTCCTGTGACAAATTTGCAACCCTAAAAATAAGGTGGGTGGAGCCAGATGGGTGACTTGGGAGTCCATATGTGAAGTTTTGACTTTATGCAAATATTCTGCCCAAACCAGAGAGGGTGTGGGAGGAGGGGGGCATTGCAGAGTAGCTGCCGCAGACATGAGCCGACTCGGACCCCTGGGCCAGCCGGCCCTGTGCTTTGCTGCGGCCTGGGCTGGAGCCCAGGGAGACGGGGTGAGGCCGCTATGCAGTGGCCTGATGAGTACCCCAAACTCCAAGTGTTTATTCTGTAGCTGAGATTTCCTCTGGGCAGTCTGCCTCTGTTTTTACTTTTGATCTATTTGTTTTGTCTAGAGATTACACCTCTTCCTGAAAACACCCCAAAGTGTCCCTTCTAAGCTGGTGGCGGCCTGGTCACTACTACTAAGCCGTTGAAATAGTAAGGTCTTCTGTCAAAGGAGAGCTTTTGTGGTTTTTCTTTGAATGACTGCCTTTCCGTGCACCCCAATTTGCTTTTTCTGTTTTGTGCCTGATTGTAGGAAATCGAACATGTTAGAAATACTCGACAACTGAAAACTGCATAATTTTTCAGGTCTAGGGGGATCCCGGGGGAGCTACAGTGTGCCTCCTGTGAGTCCTGGGGACACTGAAGGGCCTCCACTTGGCCCCTTCTGAAGAAAAACTAGAAAACATCCAGGCAGTTGCTGCTTGGATAACTAATGGTCTCCTGTTTTTCACTTTTCTTCAAACCTGTTTTTAAACATCCAGCATGACTATAAAGTTCCTGAGGTTGGGGGCCTCCCTGGTGGCACAAAGGGTTAAGTCTCAGCACTATGATGCCACCATCTGCAGCCACTGTGGCAAGAGTTCAATCCCCAGCCAGGGAGCTACCCACACTGTGCAGCAGACCTCTCCTATCTCCACGCTGCTCCCCTCAGCCGTGCATTTCAGTAGATCCTCCTGTTCTGCTGCCCACTCTGTCTCTGGTAAATCCTCTCACCCACCCCTCACACCTCTGCCCTGTACCCCAGCTCTTGTATAAATAAATAAATCTTTTTTAAAAAAAAGTTACTGAGGTTATTACTTTCATTATAAAAAATAACATTTTGGAAGAAAAATACCAGTTGTTTTGTCTCCTGTACCAAAACACTGGGAGAAAGGTTATATTGCATGTTGGTTGTTTGTTGAGGGATAAAACCCTCTGCCTTCAGGAGCTCATGTTCTCCACTCAACTTCTTTCTTCAGCCTCCTCCTAGCCCCTCTGAGCTCCACACTGAGCTAGTCTTTGTTCACATTCTCCGTCTGGCACACTCTGCCTTCATTTGTTAGATTATTCTCTGATTTCCCCGAAAATTCTAACAATGTCTACTTACTGACTGCCTAGAACCAGTCCAAACAGCCTTGTCGGTGTAACAGACTCCAAAACAGCACAGTTAAAGCAAAACAGAAGTTTGTTTCTTATGTAACAACCCTGTTTAGTGCTGCAACAGTGGCCTCAGCCCTGAGCAGGGTCACGTCTTGCTTCTTGCTTCCAGAATGTCTTGGGGTGGCTTTTATGGGCTGACTTAGATGAGCAAGTTTCTTTTCTGTCTGGTCAAGAATGTCTCTCTTGCCATTTGGAAACAAGAATGTTTAAAGTGCTCCCTAAAACAGCCTCAGTTTCTGGCAGGATCTAGGTGAATTGCTTTATCAGGGGGCCAAAGATACTGCCTCTGGAGCGAGGTCTTTTTGGGGTTTCCTGTCAGACTGGCCCACAAGTGGGCAGCACGGGGCGGGCAGGACAGCGGGCTGTTCGTCCTGCGTGACCACTCCAGCATCTGCCATCGAATCCGTGCTGTGGCCCAGCAAAGACAGCAAGGAAAGGGGGTATCTCAGCAGAGGGTGCGCAAATCCCTCCCATCCTTCCGTTGACCTTGTTAGAAGCTGGCTCCGTGGAAGCCTGGGAAATGTAAAAGATGAAATTCTTTAGCTGAGCACCATGGACTCAGCTGACACGTGACTATTCAGCAAGTGCACAATGATGTTACCATCCTCTATAAGTCTAGATGCAGCTCCGCATGATCCGGTGACCCATGAACTAGAAGGTGCAGTATCTGCTCCCCTCATCCACACACCTGCTGCACGGTGGGGAGGTGGGACATGCAAACCAGTGGGGGGACAGGAGCAGTCACTGGTTCACAGCATAAGCAGCTATTGCAAAAGGAGAGCTTCAAAAGACAGCACAGGTGGTAAAGTTTTGATTAGACCCTAGCTCTGCTTTTTAGAAGGAACTCCCTGGGTGTTGCTTCTGAAGGTACTGCCTTTCCCTGCTGGGAGACGGGCATCCCCGATCAGTGATTCCTTTTGAAGGGCACTCGTGGAAGGCTACACATCTGCGCGTGGCCAGTTGCGGGGCTCTGGGTTAATTAGGGGCAGATAGACATAGGCCTCAGCCAGCTGGGACGGTAGCTTATCAGTTAAACTTTAAAAGATATGGAAGAGGTCCCTGGTCTACTCCTGCCCTGGTTCCTCATGTGAGTAAGGACTGCTGAAGATCGCAGGTAGCAGCTGGTCATGCCTGACTACTCTTGGTTTTCGTTCACAAGACTCTTTGTCTGGCCCGTCTGCTCTGCACCTATCCCCTGAGCGGCGGCAGCCGGCAGGAGAGGCAGGATGGGTTGGGGACTCACCCCCCTTCTGATCACTCCCATCAGCTGGCAGACAAGGCTCTGCCAGTGGCCCTTGAGAAGGACCTTAGGGCGCAGTTTCCTCTGCTGCTATTGGGAATGTGTAGCTTTAGGCTTTGTCGAAACTAGCAGCCCCCAAATAACCACTTGCAGCCCGTTGCTAGTGCAGACTGCAGGCAGAGAGCTGCGATCTTCCCTCAGCCACAGCCCTTCCGTCTGTTAACAAAATGCTAGATTTTACCCAAGTTGTTTACCAAAGAGGACTTTACTGAGGGAGGCAGGAAGCAGCCCATGCTCCATGGTCAGAGAATCGCCTTCCTGATCCTTTTGCTACAGCCGCAGGTTCAAAGAGCATGTGCTCTGCCTTCCACAGTGGGGCTGCCAGCTTTTTCTGTGGTGGCATAAGAAAGGCCGCTCGCTTTCCAGCCATCAGCAATGTCCCCGGTGGTCATACGGTGGCACCTTGCTCACAGGTTTTTTGCCTTTGGGTTTCTCTTGGTGAGGATTACATAAGTTCATGCGGGTAAAGTATGTGAGGTGGGGTCTGCCACAATGAAAAATGGTAGCTATGGTTATGATTTACATGTGTTAGCGTGAGCACTCGAGATCTGTCTCTGCTAAACACAGCCCCAGGACGCCAGGGCTTATGTCCATTTATCACTTCTTGTATCCCAGGTACCTACTCAATGTCAAGGACACACTGAGCACTCAGGCACTATTGCTTGAATGCAGGAATCAGCCCCGGCACCTCCCAAGTCAATTGCATCTCTCCTGAAGTCCCTTCTCACCACACTCCTGGATGTCCGGGGAATCTTCTCTCCTAATTTTTTACCTAAGTGTTCTGCTAGTACATAAATCAAACTCTTCCACATGCACTTCACATATCACAGAGGTCCCAGAAAATGCAAGTAAAAGATCATTTTGTTCATCGCTTTGTTTGTTTTAACAGCCCTACTGAGGAATAATTGCTGTAAAAGCTGTACGTATTGATGTATAGAATCAGAGCATTTGGGTGTAGAAAAATACAACAATCAACGTCATACACATATCCATCACCTCCAGAAGCTTCCTATGCCCCTTTGCTTGGGTTTTGGTTTGTTTTGTTTTTGCAGGTAAGAACACCCGCTTAATAAATGCTTAAGTGCACAGTGTAGTATTGTTAACTACAGGTGTTACATTGCATGGCAGAGTTCTAGAATTTAATCATCTTGCATAACTGAAACTGTATACCCACTGAACAGCAATTCCCCATTCCCCCCTCCCATCAGCTACCAGAGACCACCATTCTGTTTTGTGTTTCCCTGATTTTGAATATTTTGGATACGTACAGAAGTGAAATGATGCAGTATTCATTTTCAGCTTTGTTAAGGCTGCATAATATCCCACTCTGTACACATCCTACATTTTCTTGATCCATTCCTCCACCATCAGTGGGTATTTAGGTTGTTTC